AATTTCAGCTAATTTCACCGAGAGCCAAAATCATATAATTTTATCCATTCTACAATAGGTTAATGAATATGAGAGAAAAAATGTTGAAAATATAATCTTTTACGTTTAATTTGATGATAGGTAAGACTCGCAAACTGGACTCCGCCATTTTGGATCCGTTATTTTAAATTCATCTTATTTAATAGATTTCCATCCACAATGTTACGAACTTTCATAACTAAGTTTCATATGAAATAATTCACTTATATTGAAAATCAGATATTTCCAAGACGATGGAGAATAGGACTTTAACTCGAAAAATGATATTCCCCGTATTTTCAAAATTAATAACAACATAATTAATAACACCATCCTGTTCAACAGATCGAAATCTATAAGATTCATTATGCTTTGCATTTTTGTATTAATAGATAAAAAACGGCTTTTTTTAGATTATATTTTTTTGAATATTTTCGGAACTGGATCATTTATTGGGGATTAGGAAAATGAGAACTACTTCTTTGCATCTTGAATCCAACGATAGATGAAGAATGTCAGCATCAGACATTGTCAAATTATTTGGCGAAATTTATTTCGGAAAATAAAAAGAATTGGGATAGTTCGATTTCTTTGAAAGCTGCTGGTATATAGGTCTTCCAGGAACGAAACTATGTGTTTTATTCCTTCTGAATTGTGGTTAGCGCAAGAGTTGAGATTGCCGATAGATCTCTACCGTGGTGTCTTTCTATCTCCGAGAATGTTTTCTCAAGTGGAAATTATTTTTCAGACTTGAAAGGAAAATTAGGGCATATGCAAATGTCGCGAGGCAGCGAATAGAAACGTGATCTCAAAAGATCAAGACATTGTATGATTATGATTTAGACAGTTGAACTTTGAAAAAAATTTGGTTTCATAATTCCTTTAGGAAATTGAGAAGTGCTCCTGAGCTCCAAAATAATTGGAAAGGACTGTATGAGACAGAAAATTATGTCAAGAAAATTAATGATGTGGTATACTATATTATATTCATAGAGACATAAAAATAAGATACATTTAGATAGACTGGCGACTTTAGAGACAGTTATAGGGAGGCCAATGAATACTATTCGAAATTAGTGACAGTTTTAAGGCCTGGAGATATTTAATCAATAAGATTGATAATTAAATTTAGAAAAGATATTGTTTTCTTTCCGATTTATTTATTATAGTCTCGCATTTGCGGAGATAGGAGAATGTTTCATGGCTGGAAATTTGAACGATGAGAGCGGTTCGAATACTTCGCTTTTGCAAGGAGAAGCGAAATCAAGGATCAGGATGGAGAAGTTTGTTAAATCAAAGAGTCTAATAAAGTTCGAATCAGGAAGGTTTTTGTAAGAAAATTGTTTCGAAAATTACTACTCACGATTTGAGTTTTTCCATAGAAGTACGAATGCCTAGGCGGGGACATGGGGAGTGCTGAGGCATGCAGGTACTGTGGTAATTGTTTCTCCCTTTCCCTGGTCCAAAGAGTCAAGAGACAAGCATACAAGGACACAAGCCAAGGGTACATATAATTGAAGGGAGCTGTCTGCGATATTCTTGAGTTAGATATATAATATGTTATCAATGTCATTACTCTGAATGATCTCCAACCGGTTTTAGCCGTCGCTCATTATTCGTTAAAAAGTTATTAACAACAAAGTTTGAAAAATGATGTCTTTTTACTATATAAAACGAAAATTTTCTATTTTAAAATATATCTTACGATTGTCCACGCGAAGCTAGTTCCAATCCATTTTCTGTCTGTCTGGAGATGCATGACTCACTACGTGAAGTGAATTCCAACTCACCTCCTCCTCTGCTTAAGAGCAATCGACTTTCTACGCGAAGCAAAATCTATCTGCGTGAAAAGTCTTTACACCTTTGGTAGAACGGGAGTTGCGATGAAATTCATTTCGTGTGGAAAGCTATTACGTACGCAGAGGAGGATATATAATCGTCTTTAATACTGTATATGTCAGAAATAAGACGTTATTTTAAAAATTTTTTATTAACTTTTTAATAAATAACGAGCACTGATTAAAATTTATTGGAGATCTCATGATCTTGATAATATATATCAAGATTAAGATCATTAGGTGGGCTCTCTCCATCGGCAACATTTACCGAGCAAAGTTCTTAAGCCCAACAAACAATATCTCAAGTTAAAGAGAACAGGCTCGAGTTCGGAACCTAGGCTGCAGCATGGTAGGCCAAGTCCTTCAGAAGTGAATCTACAATTTATGGTGGTTGTCAGGATAACAACCTAAAGAGAAGGGGGAAAGTGTAACAAGTGTTATGTTATGCATAATTTTGTTATCGCTTATCAGAAGATTAGCAACAAAGTTGTCGTTCTGTTCTCGTTGTCAAAGTTTGACGTGTCAAATAAACATATCATTCTTATAATTTTATGAGAAAGAGTTTTATTTTCCGGGTTCCGTTTGCAAATAATTACCTTAAGTACGCTGTGCATAACCGGAGTGCAACAATATTTACGTTTAATAAACGCATGATGTACCAACACGTGTTTATTGGGATATCGATATATTTAGTTCTTTTTAAAGAAAGAAATTATCTTATTAATGTTCATTTGTCAGAAACAATTTTTAACTCTAAATGCCCTTTATTTTCTTTATTATTGATGAATTTGCACGTAATTATAAGCCTAATGTGTGCAAATTTAATTCCTTATGTATAGAAAACGTATTTCCCATTTTGATTTTATTAGGAGTGTAATTTAGTTTTGAAGGTTTTTTTCTCAAAGATCCATTTATTTAAATAAGATAATGAACAAATACTTCAAAATATTTTCTTTCGTTTTGGATAAATTTTGCTCATTTTGGCAAAAGGTGAATTTCGCAACGATAAAAAATTCTTTTTTGGAATTGATGTAATTTTCAACAAATTCTAGAACATCTTCGAAATTATGAAAGTGTGTATCCTCTAAAACATGTTGCATCGATCAGAACAAGTGAAAATCAGATGGAGCAATATCTGGAGTATACTTAAGATACTCCAGACTGGTATGAAGACTTCTCATTTTAGCTCTAATAGTATTTACTTTACTGATAATTTAACATGAGATCATGCATTGTCGTGAAGAAGGATCATTATATCGTCGTTTAATCGCAATTGGAGATCGTTTTTTATATAATGCTTGCTTCAATTTATAATTGTCAATAATGATCAGTCATGACAGTTTCTTTCGGATTTAACAATTCAAGTATATCAGTATACAACACCTTCTCGATCCCATCAAATACACAGCAATATCTTTGAATTGTGAATTGCATCTCAAAATGAATATTGCTATTTGGCCTGCATCAACCCATGATTTTTTTCGTTTGAGATTATCAAAATAGATCCATTTTTCGTTCCCAGTAACAATTATATAAAAAACTTTTTTTTTGTTTGGTGATCAACGAAATGCAAAATGTTATTTAATCGATTTGCAATGGCATTTTCCGATAATGCGGAATCCATTTTCCTTTTATGTGAATACTTTGCATATCATATAAACGTTTAACTATTATATCATCAATTATATCTACTATTATATCATTTAATTCTCTATCAAGTCCTGAAGTGGATTGTATTGAATTTTCGTCCAACAATGATCGCAAATCTGCATTTTCTTGCTTTTTACATTATAAATTCTGAGCGATCTTTGTCGTTAACATTGAAATCACCACTTTTTGAATCATCTGAACCAATATTCACATGTTAACTGATGGAACAATGTTACCATAAGTTTCTATCAAAATATTATGATCTTCAATCGCTATTTCCTTCTGAATAAAAAAATGAAAGCAACGCATGTCGAAAATGCTCTTTAAGAAGCTCCATTTTTTTTAAATGATATAAAAACATTGTTTATTGCACGATGTTACTAATTATTGTTAATAAATGACTAAATATCATGGAATAATTGTAAAGCATTAAGAAACAATAGCTGGAATGGAAATTTTCGACACTGATATTAGTGCCTCTCTTCCAAAACTCAAATTAAATAACTCCTAGTAATTAACCTGTAAAGTCTAATGCATGTCAATAAATTGACATCGACATAAAAAATATTGTATTGAAATATATCATCTTATAAGAGATTTAAATACATATTTTAGAATATCATTCTGATATAGAATATCATTTACAAAGTTTAATGATAAGTGCCATAGTACTTGGAACTCGAGCTATTAAATGATAGAACAATGAAAGTCGCTGATGTAAAAGATTCAGAGATTTTACTGAACATCAATATTAATAAAGGTACTTTTCAGACTTAATATTGTAAATAAAGTAGCGCTGTTAAATCGCGTATATCCGTTATTTTATGATAGCATTCAGTACAACTTCTGAATCATGTATGCAGGTGTCCCAAATAATCGCCAAATATTTTATGGGCAGGTAGAGCGGACTAAACTGAGTCGAAAAGTCCTGTACTATTTTACAAGTTTCCCAATAATTAACGAGATATTAATCCTTAAAGAGCCAAATACACGTCCCGGCCTATTACTGTAAAGTGTGTACGCCTATCGATCGCTTGGCACGCGGGCCGTAAGGAGAGGGAACTGCCTGGCAAGAATCTCGCGCATACTATCGCGAACCACTATAGCTCGGACGGCGCGTTTGCCAGGCTATCCCCGCTCCTCACGGTCCGTGCGCCAAGCGATTGGTAGACGAATATACTTTGCAGTAGTAGGCCGGACACTGTATTCTGCTATCTTTCCGGATTAATATCTCGTTAACTATTATGGAAACTAATAAAATGATACAGAACTTTTCGAATCAGTTTAGTCCGCTCTATCTGCCCATAAAATATTTGGCGATTATTTTGAGACACCCTGTATATGGTAGGCAACTTTATTCTTTCACTTGTTAGAGCACAAAATTGCTCATGTATTGTACAATGGTTTTAATATAAAATATAATGTGGCTATAAAAAAAATGCAACCTTTCTCAATTCATATTTAAACAAATTATTTAAACTTACCTGTTATAAATTATTGATGAAATATACTGAGAACGGCAAATTGCATTGATAACAATGGAAGATTAATTGACACATAACCAGCGGAACTACCTGTAATTAAATTAAAATTTTTAATAGTATAATTTAATAGTTTAATTTATAGTATAATAGTTTCATTTAATTTTATGCAACGGATGTTTGTGTGTTAGAAGATTGGATATAATTGAATATCTCAAAAGAATTATATTTCAAAAAAATATTTCAGATAAGTTGTAGAGTTTAGGGGGATGCTGGAGTGACGCAGAACTTAATTAAAGTCGATATTATAGGTTTTTTTCATTTCCAATGTATAAGATGCTTATGTCTTTTAATAATGTTAATACGATCATGCAGAAAATTCGATTGATTAATTATCGATATTTTTTTTTCGATTATTTTCCATTTCCTACATAACCATCTGCTCAGGGATCAAAACGTTAGGCTCAAACCCACAAATGTAAAATTTATTTTATTTTGGAAAATTTTTCAAAAAAAATTTTTCTTAGAATTGAGGAAAAAATAAACCGAGGGATTGAAGTTAATCTTATATTTGTGGAATTGGAAATAGAGTTAGAAATAGAGTTGTATTATGTATACATGCAAGGCCGCGTTCATATATTCAATATATATCATCAGTATTAAATATTTGTAATATACATAAAGTACAGATTTTTAATAGTTATATCAATACGAAGCCGTAATAACACTTTTTTCTTACGTCCAATGCCATTTTAGATTAATATATTATCAATGAATATGACATTGCACATACATGATGTAACTCTCTTTGCTCTGTCTAATAAAGAGATAGATATTTATAGTACATACATTATTAACATGTCGATTTATATATTTAATATAGAAAATTGTATGTATATTATACTACACTGTGAACACACACACACACACACACACACACACACACGCGCGCGCGCGCGCGCGTACGCATTATATTAAATAGATAAAAGTTACTCATGTTAAGATAATCATGCAGATATTATCTATTTATACGCAATATTAGAATTTTATGTACATACATTTATAATGTATATGTATTCACATCGCACAAACATAATATTTATAATTCTAACATTGCTGTAACATATAAAAAAACATTATTAGTGAATACAAATTATAATTATATTTTATATGTATTATAATGTACATATACACAATAATGTACCCAAAATATAATTTTAATATTGTATATATCATTAATTCACTAATATGTCTATATGCAATAATAGAATAATATTTTGTGTCATTGTGTGTGTACACATACATTATAATACACACAAAATGTAATTGTAATTTCTATTCATGTCTTTTTATGTATACAACGTTAGAATTAAATTTTATATATCATTATATACATTATACATTATAATATAAAATTCTAATATTGCATAAAAATGGACATAGAGAATATTTGCATGAATATTCCAACATGAATAATTTTTAATAATGTGTGTTTACATATTATAATACACGTATTATAATACAATTTACATATTATACGTATAAATATACTATGATATTGGGCTTGTCTTAGCGCCAAGACATTATCGTGTCTTCAGATCAGTATATTATCTCTATATTTGAGCATAGATAACTTCTATCTCTCTTTTTGATAGACACAGCAAAAAATTGCTATATACATTATATGTGTAATATATCTATGCATTATTAGTACGTCCTGACTTAAAATGACATTGTACGAAAGGAAAAATGATATGTTGACTTATTAAAATGATATGTTGACTTACGAGGATATAAGTTCGAAAAGTTCTCGATCTAATACAGAAATGATTCCACAAATATTAAACTACTATAATTTTAGAAAAGTTTGTTGTTACAAAAGTTGAAATTCCTTCTCAGAATTACTGTTAAAATTTCAGACAAATGTGTTCATTAGTTGTTTTGTTTCGATCGTTTCAAGTCATCAATTTTTGATTCTAACATGACAATGCATCTATTCACATTTCTTCAATTGCAGACGCAAAATTCTACAAATTGGTTCCGCAATCGTATTTCATCAGATTTGATAATCGAAACGCCTCTGGCAATAAATTAAAAATAGTCAGCCCACGATGAACGCCTCTGACATTGAATCATAATTAGGCAAAGCACAATTTATTGTTATAACATTTAATCATATCATTTGTATAATAAATAAAAGTGTATTTTCACGAATGACATAAAGATATTAACCTATTCCATTCTGGCTATAGAGTACTTTCCAACAAGAAAATATACGATAGTAACTTTTTAACCAATTTTGGCTTTATAGGATGTCTTCTACAAGAGACACAATGTGACATGGTATGACACAATCATCATTATAGTCTTGTTGTTTGCCAATATACAAGACCACTATGTTGTACTCGCCTTTTAGAAGGCACCTATAACTTTCTCTTATCAAAGGCAGACAATTTTCTGTTACTATATTTTTTCCATTTTGTGATACAAAACACTATAAAAATATAAACACACACACACACACACACACACACACACACACACACATATATATGGGTGTGTGGAATACTACTACACTACATTGAATTGACAATAATAATACTGTTGCGCGGCAATGATACTGTGAACGCGGGTCATATCGGTTACAGCTAATTGACTCCTATAACGCCGTTGTTTTCTACGAATACAGCGTCACGCAAAATAATATACGTATGTGATATACATATACATACAAAAAATTTTCACTTTTTACGTTTTCATCCTAAGAAAAAAGATATATAATCGATATCATGGTCACGTTATCTTCTTCTTAGCGATTAATTAAGAAAAGGCGTTCACCGTATCTAAATCCATTTATTGCAAAAACTCTATTATCTTTGAAGTTCTATTGATGCATCATTTAAGTGCATTCTCCAGGTTTAAACTAAAAAAAATACAAACAGATATATGACGCGGTAAAGTAAAATTCTATATTATATTCTGAGGTACAAAAGCATGATCAGTAGCTCTTTAAAAGAAATCGAATATATCATAAAAATAATAAAGTAATATTTTAAAAGCACATTACATTCAGTAAAATTGCATTTATTTATTAATATGATGTATTAATATGATGTACTTATTAATATATGTTATTAATATATGTTCAATCACCACATTATTAAGAAAATAACAATTATGTAGAAAAGAGAATATTTTTATGATAATTTGCTGGAAGATATGGTCGCAACATGTTATTCTGCGACGCTCTTGAGATGCCCGCGTGTGATCCAGTGGTCGTTGAGCGGTTGTGAAGGAAAAGAAGGCAACACTTCAGAAAGGGCACGGCCCGAAATGCGCAACTAATTCCGAACACACTGAAGTGCACATATAATTTCTATAATTTTATAAAAAGTTTATTTGGAGTAATAATATTTATTAATAAACGTTATTAAAAAAAAAAATTACAAAAAAAAGAAAAAAGCAAAAGAATTGACAACATTCTGATCTCGCACCTAACGCTTTAGATCACGCTGAGTTCTTGCGGATCACCTCTACGAAAACATATAATTTTTATTGAATTATATTAATCCTTTGCCCTACGATTTAAGTTCCGATAGCGCGTGTTATAATCAACAACTTGAAATGTGTTGTTCCTACGCTCGATCCTGCTTTCTTTTTTTCATAATTTTTTTTTTTTTTAATAAATAACGTTATTAATAAACATATTATTACAAATATATTTTTATAAAGTTATAGAAATTATATGTGTACTTCAGTTCTGTGTTCGGAATTAGTTGCACATTTCGGGCCAATTTCTGAAATGCTGCCTATTTTTCTCTCACAACTGCTCGACGGCCGAACCGCTGGATCGCGCGCGGATCTCAGGACATGCATCTCAGGAGCGTCAGAGTATAAGAAACATGTTACGACCATACTTTCCAGCAAATTATCATGAAAATATTTTCCTACATAAATGTTATTTTTCTAATAATGGTGATTGAACATCATATTAATAAATAAATATATTTTACTGAATGTAATGTACTTTTAAAATATTACTTTATTATTTTTATAATATATTCGGTTTTCTTTCAAAGAGCTACTGACTGCTTATGTGCCACAGAATGTAATATCTTTTACAATAATATAATAATAACAATACTAATTTAAGGCTAATAAGAGTCGATACAGACTGAAGTACGTAATTTTAATGTGAAATGATGATTTAACTTTAATAACTGTGATGTCTTCTTTATTCAAAATGCCTTCTTTATTCACATGTTCGGATGATAATTATAAAAGAAACATTTAACAGAAATTACTAACTGACACCAAACGTAACATTATTACCAAAACATGATTTCTCTTCGGATTTTTTCTAAAAGTAAACAGAATTTATTTACGTATAAAAATATTGGTTTTCTATTTATTCAACTCATACTACGTTGAATTATTTTTGCTACAATTGTCGGTTTAATACTTTTAGAAATACACACATAATTTCAATAATTAAATAAAAATATATTTGGCCTGTAACATGTATTTATTAACAATGTTACTTATTTAAAAAAAAATTATGATAAAAGAAAAAAAGAATCGATCAATGATGAGATCTCTAACATTTTGATCTCGCACGCTATGCGCGCGAAGTTTTGCAAACCACTTCTATGAATATGGTATATAACGCTCATGGAAAATCATGGAAATGCTAATATCTCGTAAATTATCGTGTTTTGAAATTATTTTTGCTATTATACATAATAATTCGGAGGATATACGATTAATATAATTTATTAAAATTTATATGTTATCTATACGAGGGCAAGTTAATAAGTAAAACACATTTTTTTTGATCGATTCATTTTTATTTCTCAACATAATCTCCTTTCAGTTCGATACATTTGATCCTCCAATGATTCTCCAACTTTTTCAAACCGTCCGAATAATATGATATTTGTCCAATCCTTCAAAATAAGTTTCGGCGATGAGCTGCTCTCTGGTGAATCTCTTTCCTCCGAATCATTTCTTCAGATTTGGAAACAGGAAATAGTCGCAGGGGATTAAATCTGACGAATATGCTGGATGGGGAAGCAATTCGTAGCGGAATTCGT